TCTTTCTTTCTTTCTTTCTTTCTTTCTTTCTTTCTTTCTTTCTTTCTTTCTTTCTTTCTCCCTCTGTCTCTGTGTCTTTCTGTGTCTCTCTGTCTCTTTCTTTCTCCCTTTCCCTCTGTCTCTTTCTCTCTTTTTCTCTCTCTGCCTCTGTCCCTCTGTCTCTGTCTTTCTTTCTCCCTCTGTCTGTCTGTCTCTCTCTCCCCACCCCCTTTCTGCATAAAAAGCAACGAAATGCCATTTACCTTAAAATATTCCATCAAGGATCTGGAGTACTTCATTGCATGATCCTTCTTCAGTTTAAACATTCTCAAATAGAGGAGGGATAAGCAGCGGTAGCTATAGGAATTTGGAAATACACATAAACACAAACTTGACATTTTTTTCCCCAAAAGCTGTGATCTGTGGGCACCAACCACAGTAGAAAACCACATTGGGTTAGCACATCATTTTTAAAATGATTTTTATTACAAGTTTTTACAAAGAGACAAGAGAAAAGATAGGGAAAGAAAGGAAAGGAAAGAAAGGAAAGGAAGGAAGGAAAGAAGGAAGAAAGGAAGGAAGGAAGGAATAAAGAAAGGAAGGAAGGAAGGAAGGAAGGAAGGAAGGAAGGAAGGAAGGAAGGAAGGAAGGAAGAAAGAAAGGAAAACTTTAATAACAAGACAATTGAGAAAGAAGGACAATGTCTCACCAGAGGACTGCAAGTTTCTTGTCTCCTTCTGTGGCGGAAGACCCCGTGAAATTCTTAAGCCTCATGGCATATCTTCAGAGAGAAATGGAAGAGAAGAGGTTGAATGTGTGGCATCAAGGAACAACAGTGGTGCCCAGAGAAACAACTGAATGACCTCAGAGTTGTACACAAGCAGCAGGGCATCCACTGCCCTTCAAGGGAGCAGCTGCCACCCTCGATAAACACAGTACGAGAATATCTTCACTCAGAATAGAGCTGAAAGGGACCTTGGAGGTCATCTAGTCCAACCCCCTGCTCAAGCAGGAGCCCCTATACCATTTCAGACAAGTAACCTTCCGGGCTCTTAGAAACATCCAGTGTTGAAGCACTCACAACTTCTGAAAGCAATTTGTTCCATTGGTTAATTGTCCTTACTGGAAGTTTCTCCTTAATTCCAGGTTGCTTCTCTCCTTGATTAGTTTCCATCCATTGCTTCTTGTCCTGATCTATCTATCTATCTATCTATCTATCTATCTATCTATCTATCTATC